TTCATAATCGCAAATTTTTCTAAAAAGCATTAAACATTGCTAGAACTAATGTGCACATCACCGAACTCCACACTTCATCCCAAAATAATAATCAAAGGGCTTGTTTTTGCAATAATTAATAAAGTTTTAGAGGAGTTCTTATATCGTTATTTGATCAGAAGATGAAGCTCTAGCGATAACTAATGGGCGCGCGTTGCTCAACAGCTTAATCTTTTGCATATTCCTTTAGAAAAGTTTTGCAAAACGTAATTTAACGTTGAAACCAGCTTTTTAATCTGCATCTGTACAATTTATTATAGGCATACTGATGAGATTTTTCCTTTGTAGTAAACGTCTAACCTCGAACTTTGTTAATAAGATTGTGGTTATCGCAAGTTGTTGCAAGTTACATTAATGCAGATCATATGTACGACTATAAATCCCTGCTTTGGATAGTTTTTCTGAACGTTTCCTAGAGTTCCAAATTAATATCTTTTGCTAAATTCAGGCGTTCATTCTTTTTTGTCTCCTCCTTCGGCTTTCTTGCTCTCAGCAGGTCTTCTCATATTTGACATCAGATTCGCGGTCAGCATTTTCTCCAGCTTCACAATGGGCACCTCAAAGAGGCAGCTCCAAAAGAAGGCGCAAACATAGGAAGCAACGACGACAGGTATGGCCGCAAATACGTACTGCAAAAATGTTTTCAAAATATGGAAGAACCTATTGAAAATATGGGTGAACGCACAGAATTCCTCAAGTACATACCGTGCGCCAGATGGAAACGAAATGTGCTGGTCGGTCATCCAGATTGTAGAAGTAGCGAATCATAAAAAAGTGTATTATATATCCACAATAGGAAAGCCTGCCCAATGGTTGCCACATTGGGTGATCCATGAAGTCGGCAATGATACCTAGAGAAGCTTCATAGCCACGAAGTTATTAATCTTATTTTGTTTACCTCCCCATCCAAGATGATTTGCGACAATGACCCAAGATACAGCTAAAGCCCAACCAATTCTCGAAAAGTTGTTGTACGTTCCACTTACTGCAGTACTGGAAGGAATACCATTCTTTAACATCCAAAAGGATAGTCATAATACTTATAAGTGTATGAGCTACAATGAAATTAAGTGTTCTTCCAAAAAGAACCGTATAGGTAATAAATATTATACCTCCAGATCATTTCTATTTAATGTTATCTTTAGGGAAACTTTGAACTTAGATTCTTATATAAATTCCTTATAAACAAATTCACTTTGATGGTTACAGCAGGATTACAGTGTAAGGTCATAGATAGGTTTAGCGCTGAGCTTACCGTAACTCTACCCAGCTTTTAAACAGTTATATATGTTTAAGCTCTTGACACCTATAGAACCATTTTTGGGCTAGAAAGATGCTTCCACTAGCGCTAAAATTACATGCTATTGCAGATAAATCCTACTGTGGTAGAGAGATACTAGGAAATTTCTGACCAGGCCTCAGCACGAGGTCTCCAATTTAACCTTACGAGGACGAA